ACAAGTTACACGAACAATTTGTGAACGGATTTTCTGTGCCTCTGGCGAAGTGAAACCCTTGATGTTCAGCAATAAAGCAGTGTTACTTGCCCCTACATCTCTGATAAAGTATTCAAAAAAAATCAGTGAACGAAGAGTATTTTAGGTTTGGGTAACTTAATGTTCCAGTATGCGTCGCTGCGAGCTATAGCTGAGAAATACGGCGCTAGATTAATTCTCCCGGCAAGTTGTAAATTGCGTCGAGGCTTCATGCTGGATGCGATCTTCGTATCCGACTACCTGAATGACCAGCTGATCCGACGTTACAGCGCCGATGAGCGACATTTCCCGGTGAGTTTTGACACAGTTCATTTGCCGTTGCGCAAATATTCAGGAGTGCATCATTTGTTTCTCATCGTTAAGAGCTAGGAACAACTGTCCTCTTTTTCGAGAAATATAATTTGAATTATTATCAATAAGAGGGGACGCCTAACTCATAACCCGAACAGTCTTGATATTCCTGATAGTATTTGAAGTCCTGCGTTTTCTGATGTTCTGAATATTTGTAAAAATTATCGGTCGCTACTACCATTTGCATCCACACAAGAAAGTAAAATGCAACAGGCAGTCATTTAGCTCGTTTTGCTAGCAACCAACCGGTAGACGTTGCGCAGTAGTGAGTGGTACCTACGAGGGAGCAAACAGCCAATCTAATGGCCCCGAAGAAATGGCACACATACATCGAAAAGGCGATGGTTACTAACAGGAGTGTGCAGCTCAGGATTTAAAGAATTAGAAAGCTGCTCAGCTTGCGGGACATCCCAGTAAAGGACATTCCAAAAGCTCAATTGAACTTTTGTTCACAATCGTCATTATCTTCTAGTAGCGCTTTTGCTTTAAAGTTGCAGTGTGCGGCAGAGACTTTGTTTATTTTGACGGTAAATCATTGGCAGTAGACAATAAATAAATATATCAGTGTGTAGAGGAAGCAGTTATTCTTCGAGGATTTTACTTTCTCGTCAAAAAAATCGTTGCTTTGTAATGTAGCATCAGACTTGCTCTTACGAAAAGAACAGTTCAAGATACTGATGATGCTATTTTTTCCGGTGTGCTGTAAATACTATGAGAATGAGATTGAAGGATTGTTCGCTTCTGGAAATTTCGAGTACATTTCAGGATATCTTCAAACGTACCGTTATTTTCATCCACACCAGGTCTGTGCCAAATGCTGAAGCAAATTAGTTGACATTTTCAACCGAATTTAGGAAACTTTTTGAAAAAAATTTATTAGACTAATGAAAGTTTGTTCAAATATTTGTTTACTGAATGTTGTTTTACTAAATGACCGCCGGTCCATTTACTACATCTGTCCAGACGATTGAGAAAGGCAGCTAAGATCAGTGCATCCGTTTTAATTACTAGTGGCATGACTGGCCTGTCAAAATGTTATTTTGTAATAGTTCCTATGAAGAATTTCTGAATTCGTAAGTTGTTTTATATTTTGCAAAGTTAAAACCATAGTTCCTCTCTAATTTCCAGCAAGCACTGATTCGTAAGGAATTCACATTCTTATCGCAAATCATTGATAAGGCAGATGGATTTTTGCAAGAAGCAAAGTTTGAGAAAATTCATGCAGAAGCGATTGTGAGTGGTTCGAAGGAGCGCGACCAAGTGGATATCATCCAGGATTTTCAGGGTAACATTTTTATTCTCCTGAAGGCGGCCTCTCTCTATGTATTAGCACATTCACAGTTTTTGTGTGATCATAATAAAAGCAAACAGCCATGCCCATCCTTTGAAGTGCATTACCACTTGTTGCTTTTATCTACCAAATTATGAGATTTTTTATAAGGAATCATTCATAATTCCAGTTTTTCGAATCCACTTTAGCAGCTGTTTTACAAACTTCCATGAGTATTTTCAGCTGGGCGCGATTACGTTTACGTGGGTGTGCACATACGTTACGGAATGGATGTTACAATGAACGGTCGTAATTTAAAGCATGGACATACAGCTATTACCAAAGATTATCTGATAAATGCTATGAATTTCTTTAGGTCAGTAGTTTGTCTTTAATTTGACAGCTGTATTTATTTGTTTTTCTGCGTTTTTGCTGTGCAGCACTATAGCGCTGCTACAGCGAGCGAAAATACATATTGTCGAGAGGTGGTCTGTATGTGTGTGTTCGGAAACAATTGGAAAGTTAGAAAGTTAGTTAGAAGACTGAGAAAGTTAGAAGACTGAGATTTTGGGGACATATTCTCGTCCCTTTGTCATCCTCCCATTAAGAATCTTCACCCATACGTGCCTAGATTTAGCATTTGGACCCCCCGAAAAAAGATATGCAAGTTTCTTTGGCGGGAGACGGTTTTGGGAACCAGGCAAGACGGAAAGCTAAAGCTTTGTATGCGTATCCTACATGCTTGATGAAGCTAAAAATTTCAAATTCAGCCACTGCCCACGCTTATGCAGCGCGTACGGTCAAGTCAAAGTTTGCATCTGAAACTGTGCTAACTCGAAAACTAGATGGAATCAGTGGCTGAAACTTTGTCAGAATATTTATCGCTCATTGGGGAAATCGTGCACTTAAAATAAGTTCCGATTTGCACTTGCGCCGCTATTTAAGCCACTTCAAAGATGTTATAGCAAAGTGGCTATTTCGCTTACCGGATAATGTGCGAACTGAAACTTAGCTAGGATATTCTACTTTGAAGTGCGTTCTTAATTCGGCCTGGAAGGAAAACTCCCTGCGGGTGGGTTTGGGAAATACTCAACTTTACCACGAACTCAGAAACGAGTGCATTTTTTAGCGAACGACCCCTCTCCTAACATCCAGTTCATTTGTATTTGAATTTTTTAACGAACAGGCGCTCCAGCAACATTTTCACTTTTCAGTGCATATTTTTATATGCACTGAAAAGAACTGGAACTAGATATTGAGAGAGGATGAGAGCGATCGTTCGCTGCAAAATGCACTCACTTCTGAGTAAAACTTGCGTAAAAAGCTGAGCAAAAGCGCACGCTTGCACCGACTAGCCTGGTGCATTCCAGCTTGGGTTGTTGCCTTGCTAAAGAAACCAGTAGCGTCGACGTCGTACCCCACACTGCATGTCCTATTTTGTCGGCGTCAGCCGGCTTGCGGAAAGGTGCACGCTATCAAGTAG